TGGTGAGCTTTAATTTCTAATGGTTCATAAATTTCCAGGCCATAAACACACCTTTTTTATTTATTTTTTTTTTATTTTTAATCAAGAACAATTATTCCTTGGCATATGGGATCTTAAAATTCTCATGTGTTCATAAAGTAACTTTCCTTTAAACAATGCACTTTTATTGAGATGCTTTCATGTAGTCTTCCAAAGTCCTGTTCATCAACACAGTACAAGGTCAACACACCCTTGACTGGGTCAGAAAATATCACTGCCTTTCTTCTCCCACTGCATTATGACATGAGAGCAGACAAGGAGCACTGTGCTGAAGCTGGTGATCTTTCACAGAGATTCGGCCTTAGACCTTCTGTTTTCAATATATGTTAATAGGAACCTCTTCCTGCAGGTAACTGACTTTTTATGTAAGAGGATTTTTTGTTATTATTTAATAACAAAAACAGACATCCAAAAGCTGTATCTATATAAATTACTACAGACTGATCAGATAAAAATTGCATAAATTAAAAAAAAAAGGATAACAATTTTAGTTAATAGCACTACCGTACATTTCTTAAACATGCTTCCAGTTAGCAAAACTTTCTATGACTTTTCCTAGCTATAATCTTTTAGCAGAAAGGACTGTAACCATAATATAATACCTCCATCATATGCATAAAGTGTTTGTGTTCAATTTAAGAACTATTTTTACAATGATTGCACAATGAGGGTGCATAATTTTCTGAAGCCTGCCTGAGTTTGCACTATCACATGATACAGACAAAAGATTCATAAGCAGTTATATTCAATATTCATAAAATTAAAAATAAATAAATAAATAAAATATTGCAACTCTACTACTCTGAAGATAAGGAATGTTCTCTTAAGCAATATTTACAGATGTACCTTTGTACACAAACCAAGAGAATGAGATTAATTCAAGGACTTTTGGATAATACAAAGCAAAGGCCATTTTGCATGGAAGCAAATTCTACCATTCTGCATGACACATACAGAGCAAAACATAATTGTCCTCAGGATCCCAGGTAATGCTTGCTCTGTGTTGCCTTTGTGTTGTGACAGCAGCAGGAGCTACTACTGAGAGAGGCTGGACTATGTTTGTCCATGTGGGTGGCCTCCCTGGGGAACCGAAGGCCACAAAAAGGGGTGGTTGCCGCCAGTCAGGACACAGCCAGCCTGTACATGCAGCCCTAGGACTGAGGACCTGATCGTACAGACACAACCAACATTTTACTGGAAGCAGTAAAAATAAAGGAAATAAACCGTTCTCCACAACTCCAGTGAATAACGAAAGGACTAACGTGTAATTCTTACAAGTGAATTTATGGTTAGACATAGGGAAACGTTTTCCAGCAATGAAGATAAATAAAGCACTAAAACAAATAAAACACTAAAACTGGTAATCTGAGGATGATGTGGAGAATGGAACATTGGAGATTTTTAAGTACATGGAGGTTTTTGGATTACTCTCAGGTATGTCGAGATACTCCCATGATTTGGCCCTGGCTCACTCTCAGGGTCTTTTGTGGTTTCCATTCTGTTCTGGCCCAAGAAAAACAAGCTGGGGTGCACCAAGTTGATATCAAAGGTACTTCTTTCTCTTTTTTCTTCTTTACTCCCAACTCTGCTAAATCAGCATCTGCCTAGTTGGACAGATGTGTATGTACACATACAAAAGAGGAACAGAAAGGATTTGGGACTTCACATTGTAAAACATGACTCAAGGAAGTTAAGAGGAGAACAGCGTGCATAATGAGACTGATCATCAGATGAAGCAAATTAGTACTGCTTTGCTTGAAACTGAAGTCAGACAAGCGGATCCAGAGAGCAGTCGCTGGTCCGCTGCCAGCCGTGAAACAAGCCCCAGTTGGGGTCACCTTTTCTCCTCAGACCCAGAAGCATGTAGAAGGGATGACCCTCTCCAGCAGCACAAGGCATCACACAGCGTCTGCTCTCCCCCACGCCATCTGGGCTGCGGAAGTGCTAGTCAGAGGCTGATGCATCAGCTGCTCGCAGCACTTGTGAGGACGTCATCAGGGCCCTTCCTTCTCCTCGTCAAATTGTCCCTGCGCTGTGCATCACCCCTCCTTCCTCAGCCCACACAGTCTGTCATCCCAGCCTGTGCAGCAGGGATTTGGACTCTGGAGCATGGAGCACATTAGGCATGGTCTGAGGCATTCCTGTTACATTGGTGTAAATTGTGGCTGCAGTCCCTGCAACGGAGAGATGTGGTAAACGGCAACCCTCACGATGCCACTCAGTTATCAGGGAGGCTCCTTGCTGCTCTAAGGCAGGCCGCAGCCTGGCTTGACCAGCCTTGACAGGCACAACTGCCTCAGGAGAGATTTCCAGGCCCTCAGGTGATACATTGAAGCACAAAAATAAGCTGGAAGATGACATTTCTCTCAGAAAGTGAAATAAATGGCCCTGGCAGGTGATACAGGCTCAGTGAGAGACTCAAAAACAATTTCAAACAGCCCTCTACCACACGTGTGGCAGAGAACTCTTGTCAGTGAGTCCCTGCGCTTTCCTCAGGGTGAGGGGCCTAGGTTTGAAGGACAGACTTTGCCCCTGAAGGCAGGATGGGTTCTGCCTCCCACCATAGCCCACTCCCTTTACTGCTTGCACCTCCTCTCAGCCCTGAGGGTGGCCACTCAGCCTCTTCCAGAAGGTTCTCTGTAGCCCATGGGCTTCCCCAAGATGACATGGTGACTGTCTCCTCTTGCACGCACAGGAAAGCATGAGGTGCCCCAGGGGTCCCGAATTGTTTTTGTAGAAGATTTGGTCATCTGAGGACACCTAATACAAACAAACATGGCGTTTTAACAGCAGTAAGGGAAATTTGGGTTGAGGACACAGTTAAACTTCAGGAGTTTGTGGGAGTTTCAGTGAACGATGAACATGATGAATGCATTTAAGTCTGAGCGTGATTCTATCTCTAAATCTTTCTTTGTGTTATGTACCTTTTACTTTTCCTAGAGAGTCCTTGGATGTTATTTATTGTGAACTATTTTTCATGCTGTAATCTGAACTGATGGCTACAAAGCACCTACTTATACATGGCTTTTGTCTCTCTCTCTGTTCTTATTACTTGATGCCAGAGGAACTAGTATGTGTCATGTTCGGTAACATTTTTTTTAGAAATCCCTCTTTTTACTTCCATAGCATACAATCCTTATGAATGCTGTGTCATTCCTCTCCTTTTGATGTCTTCATAACAAAATATAAATGATTGCTTTTTCTTGACAAATTCATAGAAAGATGAATATCAGGGAGATCAAACTCCTTCTGGTTTCAGGTTAAATTCAGAGAACAGGTTAGGCTAGAAACTGATTAGCATATGGAAAAGCTGCAATATTTTAAAACAAGTGTTTTAGGATTTGGTTGTTTTGTTTTTGTTGAAAAATTGACACAACTGTCTCAAAAATTATTAAGTCAAAATATTTTATATATTTTTAATATTTTATATCCATGTTTCATATGGACCACAAAAGATTCTTCTATCCACCCTTATATCCAAAATAAGATATCAGTTTGACTGGACCACATCTGGGGAGAAGGTGTCTTACATCAAAGCAAACCAGAAAAGTCAGATGGGTTTGCAGTTCTTATTTGCCATGTGTTGTAGCTGGGGAGAGGAAGGAGGTCTGTATTACTCCTCCAAGTACCTAGTTAATCTGCAAATACCTAAAAGGCTATTATCCAGAGACAGTTGGCTTCATGCCATCTCTCTTGCACAGTAATTCACCTCTGCCTTTCCAGCTATATTTCCAACCCAGCACGCAGCTCTTCTTCTTTCATATATATTACTGGTGTCACTTTAATTTTGGTCAACATATTTATCAATATAACACACCTGTCTTAATGTCTGATGCATTTTATAAGTCTATAAGTGCTCTATTGCAAAATGTACTATACTGATTGTCAACAGCATTGTGTGTTTGAAAACATTTACACACCAGCAAAATCAGGATAAAATGAAACTAGTACTGTTAAATTACTCAGTGTTTTAATTTCTCTTGTGGTAAAGATCCTTAGTAGTGTAATGTGGCAGCAATCCATTAGAGTCCAGCTACACCACTATTATGCTAAAGTATATTGTAGTCAGTGGAGTGATGCTACTGTGCTCTGACAGAGAATCTGGTCCTCTTTTTGCCATCATTTGCTCTGCTGAACTGAGTAAATATGGCAATCTCTTGGATTGTTAGTAAGAAGGTCACTTTTACTCCATTCATCCTTGTCCACTCTAATTGAATGATCTGTCTCCAACTTTCAAACTTTTCCCTTTAGATTTGACCCCATGGTCAATGGAGAGAAAAAAAAAAAAAAGTCACTGGTACATCTCTGGTACATCTAAACTATGTATATGAGTGCATGTAAAACAAAATGCTAGTTTTGCTGTCAGTAACAAAGAAGGGATGCTAGCACTACCTTTGACTTCCTAGTCCAAGTGCCTGTAGCCCATGTGTAGTGTGTAGTCTAATAAAGAGCTGCCTTCAGATCAAGACATGCAGACAAGACCAAAACTCATGTCCTTACATGGAGAAACACATTGTCTCTCCAAGGCTCTTTGTATGAGATTCCATTGCATAAATAGCTGTTTCATGTGTTGTGTTATGAGCCCTTACCCAGATTGATTTGTTTGGCCTCCAACTCTCATCCCAAAAATGTATGGATTTCTCCTAGGTCTTGTAGCATATCTGCTAGCTACATCCAGATGTGCTGAATACTCAAGGACATTTAAATAGTACTTATAAAAACAAACAAACAAACAAACAAAAAGAATTTCCACTTTATCAGTGCTTTGTGACTTTTGAGGGAAAACAAGCCTACATATCTTGGGTAACAAGTCTTGTGGTTTTGCAGATTTTGGTAACTATTACAGAGACAAGTGCCTCTGTAATAGTCTTGTTGTCTTCTCAGGTGCCTACAATCATTGCTGCTCCTGACTTCAGAGCCCATGTGCTCCCCAGCCCTCCTACTGCAAAGATTGAACAAGATACTTGCAGAGACTACAGCTTACTAGGTCTTGTAGTAAATTTACATCCATAAGGAGGTAGCCAGAGACAAGTCTGGAATTTGTAGCTTCACTCTTGGGATCAAAACACAGTGTAAAAGTTTCTAAACCTAAAATAGTGGTTTTTTGTTTTTTGGTTTTTTTGTTTTTAAACCCTAGTCCCAAAGAACGAACTCCAGTTTTAGAAAGCTACCTAAAAATGAAATTCCTCACTGGAGGATCTATTGCTGATGTAATTGGAATCATTAACAGAAGTGGTACAATTTACCTAGTATGCCTTATGCACTGGGTGTGACTTTAAATTTGGCAGATAATCACCTGTGGCTCTCAACGTGTTGTTAAGGCTGGTTTCTTCACTGCTGTTTCTTTTTGGTAAGACTTTTTACTTCTTGCTGTAACATTCTTTGTGTTCAGGGCAAAAGTTTGTCCGTTCTTACATAATATTCCAGTGAGGACTTAGCATAGAAGGCAGCAACAATTCAGTGAGTTACTATTGAAGGACAATTCAACTTACTTTCTGAAGGACATAAATAAACATGTTTTGATGTTGTATTTTTCAAGATTAGTGTTGTAGGGTCACTACAGTTCTTTTGAATCTCTTCTAGAAAACGTTGGCTACGTATGGTTTGCTTTAATCCTGTGCGTCTTCAGTAGAGAACTTCAAATTGTTCTGTTGACTAGAAGGTGGATTTAATGTCTTACTTGAAGTAGTGTGCAAATGCAGGACAGAACAGTAATGACCAAAGGTTGTTATCAGTTGATTGTTGATGAATGGCTTCAGTGAAATGAGATTTTGGAGTATCAGTCAATTTTTCTGTGGATTCCTTTCAATGTAATAGTTGACATCCTTACTGGCCTTCTCCAGTGAAGTGTTGAACATGCTACACAGAAGATGAATTTCTTCAGTCAGCTGTGAGGAATATTGGTAAGGTAGGGGGGAGGAGAAGGCAGTATCTTAATGTTGTTTGTATTTTATCTATTGTTTCCATGCTTGAAATCCTTTTAACAACTTCAACAATTTGCAAAGACTACATTCACATAGAGTATTTACAAACCAAAGAAACGCTGTTTCTGGAGTTTTAGGAATGTTATTGATATGTATAAATAAGGAAGCAACCAGAAGATAAAGAAGCCCAGCTGATTTCTGTTTAACTGGAAATAATACTGGAAAAAGGGAGGGGGCACAGTTAGCAAAAGGGGGGGTGGGGAATAGAAAAGTAATGGTGGTTGTAAGCTGCTATGAAAAAACATATGCTAAAGAAAATTGCTTTTATATTTTTTGTTTTGTTTGGATAGTTTATTGGTTTTATAATGAATCACATAGAAATAGGGGAAACAGCAGCAGAGACCTGCAGTGAAATACTGTGGAGATTTATATAATGCAATGTAAATGCACACAAGTGTTAAAATACATTGTCCCATTTTGATTAGAGGTTCATGGCTACAACCTGGCTTATCTCTTTACATCTCACACCAATGCATATAAGTCTGCAGAGTATAAAAATGACTGTGTGTTTTGCTCATGCACACTTGCAATCCATCTTGTAAAAATAAGAAAAAAAAAAGAAAAAAAACACCGTCTCAGCCATAGGAATACTCCCAGCCTCATTAATTTTCATTAGTTTCCAGTGGGACATCATTTTCTTTTATCTTCTCACAAATAGCCTATAGAATCATATGCATCTTGTACTGGTTTGGTACTGCGTGGGCTACAGCTCTGTATTATTTAACATTTTGGCCAAGCTTTGGTTTCATGAACAATTAATCTTCTACTGTGTGTTTCTGCTCTTGTGATTAATGAAGGTTGTGAGCCTATGATTGTGAAGTGCCCAGGGTTCTCTCCCTTACCTAATCCTGCTTAAGTGCATTTTGGTCTGATTTTTTTTCTAGCCTTTCTTTTGAGCTAATAATTCTTCTATCAGATACTGAATATATCCATGTTACGTATTGCTGGGGCAGTGTCCATACACAGGGAAGCTACAAAGCTCACTTAATGCTGTCATTCCCTATATTTATTGTTGGGGGTTCTGGTAATGCAAAGTGCCTAGAGAAAAAAGGGCTACAGCATTTAGTTTATGTTTACAGGGATTCTACTAGTTTTTCTGATCTATTGACTTTTGTGATCAGTTTGACAAACGAGGACTTACTGGACCCATACATGAAATATGAATCTTTTCAATTTCATTATGAACCTTTGTTAGGGTGTTGTATAATAATTTGTTGTTCAGCTATTCTCTGGTTTCCACAGGAGAAAATAATTAGTGCTTTAAAATTAGTCTCCTTAGGTTCTTTTTTAATTGAATATGAGCAGTATATTTGCCTATATTTTACAGCTTTCAGTTTCAGAGGGTTAGTCAGAATACAATTGACTATGCCCATATAAAATGGTGACTCTGAGTACTTCTTAACCCAAAAAGAGTGGTGACCATGTGGGGATTTTTGTAAGTGTGTATGTGTTTCTCTTGGTTTTGCTTGAGTTCTTGTTTTGCTATTTTTTTACCTGCCTCCTTTGATAGAGATCCCCTATTGCCTCAGTCCCAATATATTTGCTGCTGATTTCCATGAGATTGTTATGCAGGTTTCTTTCCTTCTAGAATGAAATATCAAGCTGAGGCTAAACTGTAAAAATAATGTGTAAGCCCAATTAGGATAGCTTTCAGCTGAGACTTACTGGTTAAACTGTAGGAGAAACGTGTTCGGTTTGTGTTTCTTTGGAGTGAATTTATGCATCTCATCTTAAAATGGATGAAACTATATTGATTTATATATGTTGAGGACTGGGCCCTTGCTTTAGCTCAACAGCTTCATGAGTTTTGATGAGTTGGACTGTCTTCTCTGTGTGATTTAACTGCAGTGAGAAGGGAGGGGTTTATCTTAATATAGTTATTTGTCAATGTCACTTTGTAGAGTACTAAAATTACAGGGAGTGATTCAGTGACCATCACATACAGTCTGTTGACATTGAAACATGTAGCACTCTGCCCCAGCATGTGTTTGCTTTCCATTCCTTGTTTTTATATCAACACAACACATATGTACACACATGCATGTGATGTATGCCATTTTATGAAGCTGCAGGAAAATGATTTGGTCATCGTTTAAAAGTAGGTGGAAATGCAGACATCCACACAAGTATGTGTTAGGAAGATGGGAGTTGCAACATTATTGTTTAAGTAAATTTTTGCTCTCTGACTTTTTACTGAATGGTTTAAAAAAAAAAAATAGAATTAATCACCACTATGAGAGATGATGTTCAGAACAGCATTGGCTGTTCTAATGGCTGACTTCAATAATAAAAGACAACAGGGGATTAAAAGGTGTGGTGCGGGAAGCTGGGAAACACATTCCTTTCCCCAGAGTGTACTTAGCTTTGTGCCTTTGATCACTTTGGTAGTATCATTAGAGTTCAAAATGGCAGGCACTAGGGAACATTATGGCAATAATAATGTGATTGTTTAAAAAAAATCAAAAGAAGTTTGAACTTATTTGGGAGTTTTTTCTGATGAAGGGTTGCTCATGGCTGAAGGATAAGATGCTGTATTAGATAAAATATAGAAGCTCCACGGGGACTGTTCGTCACATATTGACTCCCAGGTTAGCTCTGATGCAGAACAGTCTGTACAGAACGGACTTTATTTACAAGTTCAATAACTTTAATCTGTGTATGCACTTTATCATTACTTGCTATTTGTCTTGCAGTAGCACCTGCAAGCCCTTGTTACTCAGCTAGGTCCCACTGTGTCAAGAACTGTACAAACATGGAATGAAAAAAAAAAAAAAAAAAACAGTCCATGGAACACAGAAGACCTAGAAAGCCTTTAGGCAATGAGACTGCAATATGGTTGCTGGCACTTGGAAAATCACAGTATTTGTCAAATGCATTGCAGTTCACTACACAAACATCACTGTAATTTACTGTGCAATGTTACAGAATGGGTTTGTGTTTTTATGTCTTAGTTCTTAAAGAACAGAGGAATTTAAATGACAGTGGGATTGTCTAGTTTATTAGTAGTGCCTTGGCAATTTGGAGACAGAATTTGCTTTGCCGTGATCTCAGAGAATTTACTTCAGTCAGATGAGCTACTGTTGGTTGGGGCAGAAGGCCAGATGAGTTAACATTTACATACATTTCTGCTGCTTTCAAAGCCTTGAATGTAAAGCTGACAGCAAAGGCAATTTCTACTTTCTCTGTCTCTAGACAGCCACGTAACTCCATGGTGAATGGTGCCAATTCTAGCAACTAGTGGGATGTGTGTTTGTAGGTATGAATAGGAACATGAGCTAAAGGTTTTCACACAACTTCAAGCTTGAATTTCAGCGTTCTGAAAGCATATTGTATGGTGTTAAGTAAAAAGGCTAGGTCACTAATAGGGCAAAACGCAAGTCCTTAACGTAAAGCAAGAAAACTGTAGACTGAGAGGCACTTTGTGCTTTCTATATGACCTGTCTAGATAAAACCAGTGCAAGTACTTAATATAGCAGCCTTGTGTCGCCCATATTGTGCAAAATCTGATAACGAGCAAAGCTTTTAAATATGTTTTTTACTACCTCATCACAGGCTGTATTGATTATGCTCATGTGCAATATCCTTAAAACAAAGTACAGCAGGTAAAAGAGAAAAATAACCAAATCTGGGGGCTGGGGGTGTTAAAGTTCCAGTTGGACACAGAATAAATTTTGTTGTAATATAGCAAAATAAAGTATTTCGAACTAACTGTCTTCTCATCATCGTCAACCAAAACTGACTGCCTGCATAGTATTACCATTTCCATTTTCTGTTCATTTTCTTTTGTTCATATTGGATGCGTTGCCTATTTTCCATAGTTCATGGATGTCTTGCTGTGATAGAAGCTTGGAGAGCAGCAAGCACAGACAGTTTTCAGAAACAACATTTATAATGAAAAAGGAAAATGTAATAAAATGATCCTGTTGCCCCAGACTCTGCAAGGGTCTCATCAAACCTCAGTCAGAAGTGTTTCTTGTATTGGTCCTTCACCCTCCCATTTTTCTTTTTGCAGCAGCTCTAAACATTATAGCATTGGTGGCATATATAAGTACATAAATCAAATTTTTTGGTTTGCTTTACTGGGCTGAGAAGACTGCCTCCCATAGAAACAGCAGTCCACAGGGCACAGCTAGAGTGTCTTTGAGTAGTGGCAGTACTCTGTTTGGGTGAAAGGCAAGAGGGGTATGTATTCTTTTTGTGCTGACAGCAAGGATGACTTTCACTTCTTGATTTTTCACAACATAGAAGAAGAAAAGTTACATTAAGTTACAGAGATGTTGCACCTTATATGTTGCACCTTATAAGAGCCTGACAGCCAAGCAGGAGACTACTGTGTTTTCCAGGGCAACGGGTTTTCCAAACCTCTGTTGTGATGGCCAGTCACTTGCTCTTGGCTTTCCTTCTGTCTTCTGTGACTAGGATGGGGTTTGTCTCCTTGCTTTTGGCAGTGAGAACCTGTGAGTGCCTTGGGTTGTGAATGTCTCTTACTCATTTATCCATGTATTTATGTTCCTATTACCCACAACTTTTTTGCGTTTTTTCATTTTTCACGTGAACTAGCTGAGATCCACAGAGGTCTTTAAAAGCTGAGCTTCTATTTTAGTGTCTAACTTACCACAAGTTTCAATGGGGAATTAATAGCCTCTGTATCTTTATGGGCCTGGTACTAAATGATTTGCCCAGAGACACAGGAAAATATAGTGAGCTATTTCTCCAAGCTGTTATCTCCTAACCGAAGGACTGTATCACACTTCAGCACTCATGGTATTATAATAAGTCTTAATTCATTAATGTTTTTGAAAGATCTTGTAAACCTCTTAGGAGCAGAGCTTTGCAAGTACAAAGTGCTATTTTATTCATGAACTTCCAAAACCTTCCGTACTTTTTTTTTTTTTTTTTTTAATAAAAAAAAATGAATG